TGGCCCAGGGGGGAGCAGGGAGAGCGCGCCCACCACCGTCCCTTCCCCCCTCGATGGGAGCGGGGGCGTCCCGGCCGCCGCAGCCGCCTGAGGAGGGAGAGCCGGGGGCCGTCACTTCAGAGTTGGGGCTCAGCAGTCCTCCGGGGAGAGCGCGCCAAGACCGCTGCAGCCGTTGGCCGAGTACGTACCAGAGCGGACGTTCGCCGCTCCGGGTCTGCCAAGTGCGGGACGCGTTCGCGGCCGTGCAACCCCGGGCGAACTTGGGGCGGCTGAGTGGCCGGCCCGCGCGGGCACTTGGGGGGCGGGCGTCCTGGGGAGCGGGCCCTGCGGGCGCCGCCGGAAGGAGAGGGCGGCCTCGGGCTCGTGTGGGCGATTCCCGGAGCAGTTCAGTGTGCAGGGGCCGCGGGAAGGAGGGGCAGCGCGGCAGCGGCCCTGAGTTGTGCGTTTTCCCTCCGAGAGCGGGGACTGCCGAGTCCATGCTCCTCATCCGCGGGTGGTGTGCGTTGTGGGTGCGCGCGCCGGCCCCAGAGTTTTGCACCCACTTTCGCCAGGGGCAGAGTCTTTCTGTTTGTTTACTTTATAAAAGTGCTGCACTTACCGTCTTAATTTTCTTCGTGAATATTCTCCCCTTCCGAATGTAGTTTTCTTTTTAAAAGCGGGAAGAGAGTTTTGCTTAGAAGTGGTGTACAGAAACTTGGCACCGAGGTGCAGGGAAGCGAGAGACTCATTGTGCCTCTAAGGCCGAGTGAGGAATTTGCACACACATGTGGGACGCAAGCAGCCTTGGATGCAGAGGTGTGTGACATTATCATGAAGAAACATTGAAAATGCAATCAGATATTTGTGGTCTGCAATCTCAACGTTCACAAAGCTTGAGCTATGAAACGATACTTCTATAAGCCTAAAGGTTGCAGGATTTGGGGGAAAAGGATAGTTAGGTTGGAATATGCGTTTATAGATTCTGCAACTTTTGCAGCAGGTGATCAGGAGGCTTCATAGACATGCATATACTTATCCCTCGCTCCCTGAGATTTGGGCGGCATGGTAAATTTTGGGGTGGCTGTTAATTTAAAATTTCATCCGAAAGAGTCGATTTGGTCTAACTTATTACCGATTGGTTTGCCAGTGACGTGTGTGCCAGCTAAAGGAGTGCAAAGATCAGAAGCTGAGAGAAAAATTCTTAGATCTTGTTTAGAAATATTTTGGCAGTTTTAATAGATAATATTAGATTGCACAGGAGCAGAGGAACCGAATTTAAAATAGATTAGTCACGTAGGAAATGCTTAGCTGTTTTGTTAGAAAAGTGTGCACGCAGTGAATTACTGTCTTAGATTTCCACTTCTTTAATTTTTTTTCCCTGTACAACATAACCAATTATGATATTTCATAATTTATGTGTGGGTTTTAAGAAGAGATATTGGAAGAGAGGATGCATACATAGGATCTACTTTCTCTGTTTTGGGTGGAGGCTGATATTCTAAAGACTTGAAGGAGCTGTTTCTGATCTAATCTATGTGTTAGTAAAAGTGGCAGTCAGATTCAAGGGTATCTATCCTTTTTTCTTCCATATTTATACCATTTGAGACATTTAATACAGTTCTTTTACTAAGTTTAAAAGATGATTTTGTTTTTATAGGTATTAACGTGCAAATAAGGGTTCTCTTGAGAATTTGTAATGGCTGGCAAAGCCAGCCCTCCTTATCCATGTTTTGGATAAATTAGATATTGGAAAATTAGGTCTTGAAAGAAAATAATTTCAAGGAATCTTTGGATATTTTCTTGTTTTTACCATCTTTCATTAAAGTTAATATGCCTTCCCAGTATTAGAAATATTTTGTTTTTCCTGGCTCTGGTGGTCTCTTGTTATATGTGAATGTACCAATAATAATGATAATAGTAATAAAAACGTTGAGGCACTGCAGATTTTTATTTCATTTTACCTGCTAATTGTGGATATATTTCAAATGACAGAAATCCTTAGAAATGCTATAGCTGATACAAGGAAATTTAGTGAGCTTGTATATCTAATAAATTGATATATCTAATAAATACTTTATATCGTCTCTTATTTCAAAATTACTTAATTTAATAATTCAATGATTTAATAATTCAGTTATTAATACAATTGAATAATCTCAGCTAAACAAAATAAATTTTTTCTCTTTTTGTGACTAGTAGATAACATCCACTGTCATGGGAAAGTTAACAGATTTTCATTCTTGTTATTTAGAGAATGAGTTAAAGCATTAGAAATTTTCCTTTAATCACACTTTGAGAACATATTGGCTTATTAGTAAAGACTTTGGGGGCTTACACGGTGGATGCTTTGAAAAGAGAAATCATAAAGTGGGTGAAAACTTTGAAGAATGTGTTACTTGAATTTTAAATATGTAAAGTGAAAGATGGTTGGATGTCAGGTTTTTATGTCTGTTGACCTAGACTCTGTCCTAAGACTTAGGCCTCATCTTTTCCGATAAGCCTGTAGTTTTTTGTTGGTGCTGTTCATTGCATTTTTGGAAATGAAAGCTCAGTAAAATTTACCTTTAAATGTAAAGCCGTGTTCTGCATATCACAGAACCATGACATATTTTGTGTTACTTTCATGGAAATAACCATTTTATATTTTGAACAGTTTAAGATCACACTAATGTATGTCTATGCATATTTCATTACAGAATTTATGAAATATATTACAGGATGAATAATACCCACTTGAGCTTAATATGAGTTTGTTGGCCCCTTTGCATTGGATTTATTTTTATCTTGTCTGCTTCTTTCATTCTTATGAGTAGTGGAATGAGACTAGGACAGTTATTATATTAAATGCAAATTTCCTTTCTGATCTGACATGTTCAATAACTTGCACAATAATAGAATATACTCCCTTAAACTTAATAATGGAATAAGTGGGAAATTTGAGAAGTTGATGCTGGGGAAAAGTACTAATCCTCGTGAGAATTCTCACAGGTAAAATATACCATTAAGTTTTCAAATAGTTTGTCATTTCTCAAAACTATGTATTTGGAGGAGCTGCGCATTAATTTGCATGATATGTTAATTTAATTTGAGAAACTTCTGAAAAAGGTGATAAAATTTAAATGTATTGCCTACATACTCTGCTCAGGGAACACGGAATGTTTGTTGAATGACTTGCCAGCTGAGTGAAGAATTTCTAGTTATATGAAATGCTGGTATTGGTATTATTAAATTAATCATAGTTATTATTTAATAGCAAAATAAATCTGATTTGCCTTATTCTAATTTTGATAAATTAAACTTACACATAAAAACACTTTCGTTAAAATGTTAAGGGGTCTCGGGCCGGCCCGGTGGCGCACTGCTACAGTGCGCCGCTTGGGAGCGTGGTGGCGCTCCCGCCGAGGGTTCGGATCCCACGTACAGACCGGCCGCTCACTGGCTGAGCAAGGTGCAGGAGCAACACCGAGGGTTGCGATCCCGTGGCCGGTCCTGGTCCGGTACGGGCGCGACACTGAGGGTTGCGATCCGTTGCCAGTCACGAAAAAAGACAAAAAGGAAAAAAAAAAATGTTAAGGGGTCTCTAAAATTTTTTTTTCCAGCTTCATTCAGAATTCAGAAAAGAATCAATAGGGGAGAATATTTGAGTTTCCCATATTACCATTAATTCATTAGAGGCTGTATGTTTAATTCATAGCATTGACAGTAGTAAGATCCAAAAGTGTCTTGACTTAAGATGTATTGTTGAATGCCCACTAATAAGTGTGCCTAGGTAAATCATTTGGAATGTGAAACACATAGGAGTTAACACAACCTTGCAATCTTAAGTAACCAATGAAATGTAACAACGAAATGTAACATTTAATCATTTTAGCTTGAGTTTTGAGTTCTAGGACTTGGATAAGAGTGAGAAGAATTCATTTTCTAGAGGCTCATCTTTCCCTAAGCCTAATTCTGGCTTTTATAAACCTATTAAGTTTCAACCTTTAGTCTACCCGTTACATCCTTCTCCAGGCCCTTATACCTTCAAGCTACTCTCTCCTAAACTTTGCAGTACTTCAGAGGCTTTAAGTGTAGTCTGTGTCCTCAAATTTCTTATTTTCTTTGTCCCCATTCCCCATCTCAATCCTTCATTCCCCTGGTGTGCAACAGGTCTCATGTAGAGGTTGAGGAAAACAATCTGGTGGAACTAATTCACCTTAATCTGTAAATGACTCATGAGCTCTTAACCCTTCCCAAGGTTTTTCACATTTTTTGTAAGTCTATAAGACATTGGGACCGGCAATGGGATTGCAAACCTCGGTGTTGCTCCCACGCCTCGCTCAGCCAGTGAGCGGGAGCCGGTCTGTATGTGGGATCCGAACCCTCGGGCGGCAGCGCTGCCGCGCCTCCTAAGCGGCGCACTATCCAGTGCGCCACTGGGCCGGCCCATTAATGTGAAAATTTTAGGCTGTGCTTGGGGGAAGGGATTTATAGCCCTCTATGTAGTCAGGCCTTAGTGAGATTTTGCCCTTGGTTTCTCCCCACTCCTGGAAGAGTCGCTCTTCCTTAGAATGCCATAAATTTCATAAAAGTGTGTACACACACACTTTATATATGTGTGTATATATGTGTATTGCTGTATACGTGTGTGTGTAGTGATGATTCCTATAGCATGGAGGGGAGAAGATTCAAGAATAGTGGTTAAGAATCCATTTGGATATAATGAACATTATAAGATAGGTACTTGTTATTTGGAGATAACTTATACTGCCTTTAATTTATAGGAACAGAGGGAAAAAAAGACCTAGGATCTCTCATGACTGATCTTGAATTCTTAAAATGCTGGTGTTGGAGCTGGACTCACACATAATGTATATTATAACACTTAACACATGTAGTTCCTGTATTTGGGGAGAGCACACTCTGATCTCATGAAAAAATGGCCATGTCATTGGAGTCCATTATATATAGCCTTTTGAGAAGGAGGAAGTATTGAGGATGAGAGAATGGAGAGGATTGTAGATAAAGTTAACAGGATGCAACAGAATGTGCAGTTATTAGATTGGCAATTTACACAGAAGGTATTCCTTTTCTAATACAAAAGGTGACTGACAATCAGATCCTTAATCAAACTTTGGGTTTCATTCAATAGCAACCTTTATAGAGATGTTATTCTGCATAGAACACTTTGCTAAGAATAAAGGGGGATAAAAGATTAATGAGGGCTAATTCCTAGTCTCAGGGTGCTCATAACCTAGCAGTAACTTGTTCTACAGAGCCAGGTAAGTTGATGTAATTGTTGTATAGCATTTACCACAGTGTTTAAGTGTCTGCATCTTGTCTGTCTCCTCCCCCTCAACTGATTTTCCATAAAGGACCATCTTTCCTCTTTATTCTCAGAACTGGCTCAGTGCATGGCATATTTGAATAAATGAAAAAGAGAGAGAGAAAGAAAGTATTGTGAGGTTCAGAGAAGGAAGGGGACACCTGCAGCCATTGGGTGTGGGAAAGACTTTATGGAAAAGGCTGTGAGCAGTCGACTGGATAAGAAAAATGTGGTGTGTATATATATACACACACACACACACACACACACACACACACACACAGTGGAATACTACTCAGCCATAAAGAGTGAAATTCTGCCATTTGCAGCAATATAGGTGAACTTGGAGAAAATTACGTTAAATGAAATAAGCCAGGTGCAGAAAGAAATAATGCATGTCCTCACTCATAAGTAGGAGCTAAAAAATAAATTTAAAAGAATGAAAAAGAAAAAAAGAAACAACAATCACAGTAATACACTGAACTTTCAGGAGAGAACTGAACTGTGGTTATTAGAGGTGGGAAAGGGGGAGGAAAAATGGGTTGGTGAGAAATTGGTTAAGGGTCACAAAGAATGATTACTTTTTATAAGATGAGTATACTGATTGTCCTTATTTGATCATCACATATTGTACACAGGTATTGATATTCAATGCTGTACCCCACGAATACGTATAATCAATTATGTTTCAATTTTAAAAAAGGCTATGGAGTGGAGAGGGAGGATGCCTGGCATAGGGGCAGTAAGTGGTACATTGAAGAATACCCAGTGTGTCTCTTTATCTTGAACAAAGGGGCATATTTAGGAATAGAGAGAAGGCTGGAAAGGTAGGTTTGGGTCTGGGGTACCTATATGAGTAGTTTGGATTTCTTTATGCAGTAGGGAAATTTGCACAGGTGTGTAAAGACCAGACCCTCACCTGAACTTTAGGAAGATAAAGTTGGCATTGCAGTGTGGGATGTACTGCAGGTGAGGAAGCTGTTTTCAAAGTTAAGGCAAGAACCAATGAAAACTAGAATTAGCTATTTTTGAGGCGAGAAAGGAAAAGGGTGGTGGTGTGGCCTAAGGACGTGTAGATTTGGGGAAGGAAGAGAAAAAACAAACATGGTGTCCACACTTTTATTAATCTAGGAGAACTGAAGAGTAGTGGTGCAACTAAAAGAACTCAGAGTGTTAGAAGAGTAGATTTGGGAATCTGGAAGATGGGAGGACAGTGAGGTCATATACTTGCTTTTGAATATGTCAGAGTCGAGGTTTTCACAATCCCCAGAAGAATGATTTGGGCTGATGGTTCTCAAATTTTTCTGTTATGAGGATGACATTTTAAGTAAAAAAAATTGCCAATACTCATGATAATTTAATTTTAGTGTTTGTTTATTAAGGATACATATAATGACAAAAACAACAAATCCAGTTGCATTTTTAAATGAGTTTGTATTTTATTAAATCACAGAAGCGTTTATATACCTTCATTTGCAAAGTAGACATGTGTGAGAGGCATCTTTTTTACTCAGTATTTAGTAGTTATGGTGCATTTGGATTTGAGAACACTTTGCGGTAACTCCAGGGTCTTGGCCCATGAACCACTGGTCCAAACTACAGATATAGATTTGGAGGTCATTTGTCTATGGTGATAATTGAAGCCTGGGAGTGGTTGAGATCATCAAGGGAGAATACGGACAGATGATAGAAAAGACATCTAATATGTAACTCTGGAGAATTCTTGCACTTAGAATATAGTGAGGGAAGTCGGGGGAAAGAAAATAATACAGCATTCCCAAAGTCAGCTGAAGAGCATTTCAGGGAGTCATATCATGCATCAGAGAGGTTAAAAGAGAGAGACCTGGGTGATAACTCTGTAGTTACTTGAGCGTTTTGATACAATAGTGGGACCAGAAAGCAGGCTGGATTGAGGCAGGTTTGAAGGAATGGTTCTTCTTTTCCCTAGTGACCATTAAAGGCCTCTCTCCTACCCTAAATCTTCATGTCCCAGCTTGGAGAATGTCAGGAAAATTTTGTTTCCCATAGTGAAGCAGAAATTGAACGGTAAAGTTTTCTGGACCAGGCTAGCTCCTTATTTCACTTAGTATAGTTTGAATCTGGCAGATGACTAATGCTACCCTGTAAGGAACCAAAGTGAGATTTTTGTTTGTTTGTTTGAGGTTTTAGAACAAATCATTACCATTTAAAATAGATCAGTAAATAGCAAACAGCAGCAAATGGTCTTAAAGTGTGATCCATTGTTTTTTAGTTCTTCCCTAACACTGGGGTTCTTTTTGTTGGACTGACCAAGGTGAGAACATTTAAGTTTGTGTAAGGGGAGGTTTGCTCTAGGCCTCAGGTTTGGCTTTTCAATGCAGCAGGAATGAGTAACTGGTTTCTCTTCAATGTGGAATTCATGAAAAGGTCAGACTCAGCATGTTCTAGAATATCTTGAATAGGCCAGGTAACTAGTTTTCAGCTGAGTAGATTTATTATATTATAAGCTACCTGTATTTAGTGTTGTGTTAGGACCCTTTTTATATGTACTTCAGAAAGATTCATGTAGAAGCTTTTTGACTTATTTGACCTTCATGTTGAAGTATGAAATCTGAAAACTGAAAATCTCATGTTAGTTTTCTTTTAAATCAAATCAAGTTAATGTATGAAGTGGTGGGTATTTAAATGATCACAGCAGGCTCTGGAAAGAAACTGAAACATTCTCCTAAAGCACAAGCTTAGGGAGAACTCCTTTTGCAACAGTAAGTGTGGGCCTTTTGATAGCCTCCTGGGACTCTGAATAGTTTACTTATTTATCTTTCATCTGTTAACATGACTTTGGAAATGTACACTTGATCCTTTCAGTCCTTATGCAGATATTATATTCATAACTGCTTCTTTCTTACCAGTACTTAAGGGCTTTCTCTTAGGAACTAGGGAGTTTCCTTTTTTTCTGATGTAAAGATGAGAAAGGATAAAACTTGAAGATTATTATTTTCTAAACTCATTGCCTAGAAAGATTCTCAGACGAATACAACCTGTTTGGGGTTTTTAGTTCTCTGTATCTTAAGTTTCTCTTTTATATTTGTCTAATTTTATATATATGTATACACATACATACATTATTATTATTATTATTATTATTATTATTATTACTCATAAAAAGATTAAAAAACTTTTTCTAGATTTTCTTTTTTCATTTTTTGGTGGCTGGCTGGCACAGGGATCAAACCCTAGGTCTTGGTGTTATCAGCACCATACTCTAACCAACTGAGCTAACCAGCCAACCCTAGGTTTTTCTGATGTACTCTTCTCTTTCGTAATCTCAGGAGTACATGTGGTGAGTAAATTGATCACTCCATAAACATTGCAAAGTTACAGTCTTCTTATAAAAAAGATGTATGTGTACATACATATTTATATATGTACATGCATTTTACCTCAGACACTTTCTAGAAGCCCATCTATTTGGTATAGTGTAGTTTAGACTTAAACTTGGGTCTGTAACTTCTGAGAGCTGTGTTTTTGTGGGTAAGTGTCCAACTGGATGATAGACTGCCCCTGGAGTGGAAGGACAAGACTATCCTCCTTTGGATGATTTAGAAGATGCAACAGTGTTTTTATCCAGAGGACTGAGATGGCATGATCATAAGGTGGACCTAAAGAATCTGGATGATCACAGAATTTATAGGAGTTTGTGGAGCCCAGAGGATATACTAAATATGTCCTCAAGCGATATTCTTGTACACGTTGCCAAATTTGCCAAGTCATGGGACTGTCCTGAGATGTACCTCAGGGACCTGGGAAACTATAATTTTCAAAAGCACCCCAGGTGGCTTCCTGGATGTTAGCAGAAGGTACTGGATCATAATTTAATCTTTTTTGTGTCTCTTGGGAAGTCATCAGGTCACCTGTCTATGCCCATACTAGCCCCTGAAAATAAAAAGTTATAAAATTTGAGGAGGTCACTAGTTGATCAGAACAGATTGTGGATGACACAGAAGTTTCAGGAGATGGGCATTCTAGTAGTCCTTAGAATGGTAGGGAGACCCATTCTTCTTGGATGGGGTGACTGAGACTAGAATTTTGTATAGGATTATGGCTGATGGCATGAAACAGAAGTCCCAAGTTTGGTGACTTTTTGGCTTTCAGGGATGTTCATAACATTCCTCTGCTTCCATTATCGTCCAGTTAACTATTTCTCCATACTATTGAGTTGAGGGTGGGTATTCTGTTTTCCTCTGATGTACATGTTCTTCTAGCTTTCCGTAATTTTCTCCATAGAGGGCTGCAGGGGCCTTTTAATCTCAGGGTGCATTGATTACACATTTATTCGTTTCTCTTAAATGGAAGTACTTGGTCATCTCCTCTTTGGATGTGGGAGGTCTCCAGGCAACTATGAACAACTTTTAAAGGCTGCTAAGAGGTCAAGTACTTTGCTGGATTTTGTTGTTTCTTTAAATACAAGCTTCTCTGTCTTGCTTGGACTCTAAAAGTATGTTTCTTCCTTGTCTCTCTTAAACTCTCTGCTGCTTTTGGAAGGTTCACCCACCCTCCTTCTTTCATCCTCCATTTCTATACCTGATACATACTTAGACAACAGTCTGGTTTTTTTGCATTCAGGGCAGTTCTTCGTAAGCATTCTACCCTGAGCCATTTGTCTGCCAGACTAATCTTGTCAATTCTTCTTTATAAAATGGGAATAAGTACACCCATCTCACAGCGCTGTTGTAAGGTTTAGACATAATGTAAAGTTTTTATCATATTGCCTGGCACAAAATAAGTATTCAGCAAATGGTAGCCCACTGTACTTCTTACTTCCTGCTAAATTTTATTCTTCACTTTACCTCTGTGTCCACATGGAAGCAACAAGGATCATAGCCAAAAATAAGAGATATAGATCCCTGTTAGCTTTGGTGTTTGAGTCCCTAGACTCCTGCTTACTAGCTATTTTCTTCTTTAAAATGGAAACAATTATACTGACCTCTAGGTTTGTTAGGAGTGCAAAATGAGGTAAAGTACAGAGAGAGAATGCTTCCTTAACAGTCAGTTGCTGTGCAAATGCTCGTTTTTGTTCTTCCTGTAGTGCATTCTCCTGTAGTGTCTAACCTATTTAGTTTAAGAAGTTTGAAGCAAGTATGATGAGTTTTTTCTTTCTTTTTGCAGGTTGAGCCCATCCACAGTAATGGCCGCAGCCTTACCCAGGACCCTGGGGGAGTTGCAGCTGTATAGAATATTACAAAAAGCCAATCTACTTTCTTATTTTGATGCCTTTATCCAACAAGGTGGTGATGATGTCCAGCAACTCTGTGAAGCTGGAGAAGAGGAATTTTTGGAAATCATGGCACTTGTGGGTATGGCTAGCAAGCCCCTTCATGTTAGAAGGCTACAGAAGGCTTTGAGGGACTGGGTTACAAACCCTGGCCTTTTCAATCAGCCACTGACTTCCCTTCCTGTCAGTAGCATACCCATCTATAAATTACCAGAGGGATCACCGACATGGCTGGGAATATCCTGCAGTAGTTATGAAAGGAATAGCAGTGCCCGGGAACCTCATTTAAAAATCCCCAAATGTGTTGCTACCACCTGTGTGCAGAGCTTGGGACAGGGCAAAGCAGATGTGGTGGGAAGCTTAGCACTGCAGAGTGTTGGTGAATCCAGACTCTGGCAGGGTCACCATGCCACTGAGAGCGAGCACAGTCTCTCCCCAGCCGACCTTGGCTCTCCAGCTTCCCCAAAGGAAAGCAGTGAGGCGTTGGATGCTGCTGCTGCACTCTCTGTGGCTGAGTGTGTGGAGCGAATGGCCCCCACACTGCCGAAGAGTGACTTGAATGAAGTGAAAGAGCTCCTAAAAACCAACAAGAAGTTGGCCAAAATGATTGGTCATATCTTTGAGATGAGTGATGATGATCCACACAAAGAGGAGGAAATTCGAAAATACAGTGCAATATATGGTAGATTTGACTCAAAGAGGAAGGATGGGAAGCATCTCACACTTCATGAGGTAAAAAGCCCATGTTTTTCTCTCCTTGTATGTATGTGGCATGTTGCTATTCCTTAGAGATAAGTTTGGTAATAGTTTAGAGAAGTGGAGATATACCCCCTGAAAGCAGTATTAAAAACATTCAGTTGTTAACAAAATATAATTCTTTCATGAAAACAGACCATACTTATTGTGTTAGTGGTATATTTGTGTTGAATTCAAACATGTTTGAGCTTTGGAATTACAGTATAAGGTGACTTTCAGAAAAAGTCAGAATTTAAGCAGTGAAAGCATAAAGTCTTTGCATTTGTGGAGCAGTTTGTTTTTTAACTGAGAAATAAAATAGGATTTTAGATATAATCATTCATTTAAAAAACATTTTTATAGACAATTTTTAGAAAAAAATATTTTGTAAAAATAACCAGAACTTAAATCAATTTTCAGCCAGCATAAAACAAAATATTAGATGAATGTTGGAAGAATTATATCTTTGAACATTGTTTTAGTTTGACATTTGGCATTAAAAATTCTCATTTTATCCTTATAGCACTCTATTCAAGAGTAGTCTGCTTAAGAATGTGTGTTAAGTGTGTATATATATAAAATTTCATATAAAATATATATTGCGTGTACAGACTTTAATGTGTATATGTATGTATATGTGTATTATATGTGTGTTTATATATTGCCTGTATGTACTTTTGTGTCCATATGTATGTATATGTGTGTTTATATGTTTATATATATATGAGAGCATATATAAACTTTTGCCTTACTCCCTTTCTTCTCTTGTCTATCTGGCTAACACATCATCTTTAAAATTCAGCTCAAGCATAAACTTAAGTCTTTTCTGATATCTTTTCCTCCAGGTAGAATGACCTTTCCTTTCCTTTTCATTTTTATCCTCACATATACTTCTGTAACAGTAACTTCAACACTTTAGGTTTCTTCAAGGCACAGATAATGTCTCATTCAACTTTATATCCCAGAGTCTAATGCACCCAGTAAGTGCTTGGAAAATAAATGCATTTTCAAGAGTTAAAAAGTCTATTTCATAGCTAAATTTTTTTTATAGCCATATATCCTTTAGAAGAAAAATTCTCTGTAAAGTGTTCAGGTCGAATGTAACATTTCACATTCAACATCAGCTTTCCCCCCCAAACTTGTAGTTGAACATGGAAAGGAATATATACTCATTGTAAAAGTATTCAGTCGTTACAAAAGGATGTAAAGGAATTGAATCTGTAAACTTTCAAATAGTTTTCTTTATGTATACAAATATAGGATCATATTTTGCACTTTGTTCTCCAAATTCTTTTTTTTTTTTTTTTTTTTTTTTTTTTTTTTTTTTTT